CCCCAGCCAGCATGGCTGGCTGGGGAATTCTGGGAGTTGAAGTCCACACATCTCCAAGCTGCCAAGGTTGAGAAACACTGCCTTACACACTGCTGTGGAAATTAGCTTAGCCTCCAATTCAATTCTGGTATCACCAGTGAAGGTGAAAAACCACGTCCAGCCTGGAAACCCTTCTCCTGGGCTACTGCCAGCCTGCACTGCAAGGAAGGCACAGATGCAATTATGCAAGGTTCAACAGACAGGGTAGCTCTGCTTTTTCCGCCCCACCCTGCAAGGAAATGTCTACCATCTGGTCTCAGGATCCCTAGCTGCTTTCGTCCTTATTCACAAGGCACCATCTACAGGCACAAAATTCAAACGTTTCCCAAGCAAGAGAGACAAAAAAGGCAGGTGTAGGTCTGAGGACAGAGAAAAGACCAGGATAAGGACGGAGGAAGTTTAGTACGTTCAGCTGCATCAATTCCAGCCTGACTTTGGGATGTGTGAATGAGGATTAAAGAGCGAATGTATCCAAGAGAGATACCAACACTCCACTCCCTGCAGTTATATGTGGAGTAAATCAAAATAGCTGCATTTTCTTCCCAGCCTTTCTTTCCTATGTCCTCTACCCCCCTCCACCCCCTGTCGCCTCCCTGGGTCATAGACTCATCCATTTGTCCTCGACAAGACACAATCTGTGGAGAGAGCACTACAATAGTCAATAGTCAATAAACAATAGTGCTAGAATGACAGCTTTCTTGGGATAATCCCCAGCCTAGAAAAATGGGTCAGGGGAATTGTGAAAATCCAGTTTGCATCTAGAAAGTTGTATTCTGCAAGATGCTGTGACTTTGGCATGCATGCACACACGCACGTGCGCCCCCCTCTTTTTACACAGATTTGTAATTCCTCAATCAAAATGCACCATTTGGAATCCAAGCCTGCTAAAACATCTTTTGCTGGGATGAGCTAACCCAAACCTGGAAAAAAAAAGTCCCGCTCTCACAACTGACCCTTCAGTCGACTGGAAAGAATTTGCAGCAACCTAATTTCCTCTGACATATGTCAGGAGGGATGAAGTGCAGTGAATGTATAACATAGACAAAAGTTTCTCTGCTTCTCTTTACCCCCAACAGATGTTCAGACTCGGAGTTGCTCAAATTGAGAATGCAACCAAATCACAGCCAATGTCCCCTCCTGCTCTGAGTGGCTTTTTCTGATGGGCAAGTGGTTCTTCTTTTTTTTTCCAACACAGCAGCCATACTTAAAGAAATAGGGAAATCAACAAAAAAAGAAGATGACCAAGTGGAAGCATCTGTTTGATCTTGGCTCATGTTAAAAAGCTAAGCTAAGTGGGTATTTAGCCCTTGGATAGGAGACCACCAGGAAACCCTACAACGACAAGTTAGTTTGGGAAGTTGAAAGAGACATCTTGGAAGAAGGTAGTAGACCACCTCCATGTGGTCACTAAGAAAAATACACGGACCTGTCCAGGGAGGAGTTGAACTCAACTTGAGAGTCTGAGAGTGTACACTCATATCCCGTTTTGTCCATTACTGGGGGATAAAAATGGGTACTGTTGTATTCCTAGATGGGAATGGGTCTGAATTCAGATGTTTTGGACATGGGACGTGACAGATGACGGACTAGAAAAAGCCACCATTCTGGCAAAGTTGAGGGAAACAGAAGAAAGGGAAATACAGGACAAGGTAAGTTGTTGAGATCAAGGAGATCACAGGAATGTCCTTGGAAGAGTTATGGATCACTGATGGGGACCGATGGAAACAATTAGCACCATCCATACAACAGCCAGGGGTCATGTCTGATCCAGTGGCACCTCATTAATCCTTCAAAGAGGACTTAAGGGGAAAAACATGTTTCTGACACTTCTCAGGTCTCTCTCACTTTAAAGATGTCTTTGAAGAATGCCTGGGAAGATGCCACCACAAAGTGAGATCCAGAGTGCGTGTGGAAAGCCCTTGCTGATGTCAGTAGCTGAACCCGTGCAACTTGAGTCTTGCAAGAAGCCCAAGAATGGGGTGTGAAGACAATGTCCCTCTTCCGCCAAGCGTGAGGGTCCCTAATGACTGCTGAAACAATTCTTGCCTTAAAAGGACAGGATCCATAAGCCGAATCTCTTTGGCTCCCTAACATATGAGGAAGTGCTCTCCTATCTGGCCAATAGGCTATTTCCGCTCCCCAGGGGACACTCCCCCCCCCAGGAATCCTCTTTCTCTGCACTGACAAAAGTGGGGGGACCTGTAGCATTGCCAGCCCAATTTTAAATATTTACAGACTTCTCTGCATGTGGAGAGACTTCTGGATGGCAGGCATTTGTTCTGTGCCTGGAGTGGACAGGAGGGTGCTGAGAAACTCTTTGCATGTGGCGGCTGCCAGCATCTTGCTGAAAGTGGGGGAGGGGGGGAGAGGCAAGGAGCATCACAATGATCAAGAAGGAAGCATGGAAGGAGCAAAGGCATCTGAAGAGCGAAAGAGAAGACCACACGAAAGGCAGCTTTTATACTCAGGAACAGAGAGAAACCACATTTGCCCGGTGTGACCGATTGGAAAGATGCAGAGATGGCGACATGTTTTGTGACCAATTCATTCCATAACTC